TTTTTTTTTGAGAAAGTAACTGTCTCTTGAAATTATCTGACCATGAACCTAGCCCTTCTAGAAAACTAACATCGAAGCCCTCACCGTTGAGAATCCAGGCTCCACTACTGTCACGCCTCCTTGGGGATTTTCACCTCGGCAATGGGCTCCCTACCGCAGGTTTAGGGGAATGTTCTTAGAATGGAAAAGGCGCTGTTGAGGCCTTCAGACCTAATACAGGTGCACGAGCTTGTTTCCATCCCCGCTCTGCCTTGGCTCGGCGTGGGAGTGTTCAAACCGGTCTCCTACCCCAGGGGGAGCTGACGGGGACAAGCCACACTGCCTCCCCCACCCCACTTCCCCTTCCCTTTCCTCCCCAGCATTGAGATCCAAGGAAAATGTGCACAAAGCCAACATTGGGGGTAGATTTGTGGGGGCAATAAGTGATCCACTGTACAAAATCGTTTTACAATAGAACCAGGGGATGGGGGTTGGGGCTGGGGGATGGGGAGGGAAGGGCGTAGCCTACTTCTGCACAAGGCAGTTAGAAAACTGTGGGGCTGCAGGACACTGGGGCAGGGTCTCAAGGCCCCACCTCCTAAAAGACCCTTGGTGAAGGAGGCAGGGACGTTACATCCACAAATTCTCCTCTGGGCAGCTCCACACCATGCCGGAATAAAATGTGTGTCATCTCGGGCCGGTGAAAGGACCCCTGTCCCAGGGATGGCACCCTTCCGTGTGCACCCACCCCTCTCATCTCCTCTGGGAGCAGTGGTGCCAGCTGGTGGGGTCGGGGCCTCAGCTGGGCTCCCAAGGACCTCACGACATGTACAGGCGTTTGTGCTTTTGGACCATTCCCAAAGGCAAGGCTGGCGTTGTGCCCACAGAAACGTGCAGAAATGTTAAATCGAGGTGCTTTGTTTCAAAGTCAATGTTTCTCATAAGGAGTTGTGCTCTCTGGCATTTCTCCCCCTGGGGAGGGGTCTTGGCCCCTCGTCATGGTCTCCACTCTGGGTCTCCTGAGCCAGGCAAGTAGGGCACAGCCCAGTGACTGCATGTGCCCACTGTCGTTTAAAATGAAATAAATTATCACATGAAAGGGACTTAACTGATTCTAGGGCTTACAGTTTTGTGTCAATTTTCTTCCTGCTCCTGGCAGAGGGGTGGGGGTGGACAGGAGTCACCGAAGAGAAACCCTGGCTTCACTGTTGCTTTCTGCTCGCTTTCTAATCAACTTGACAGCTTGAAAGGCCACCATTTATCTCTCTCTCTCATTTTTTTACCTGGCAGCTGTCTGAGATGATCACTGTTCAGTATTTACTAAGTATCCACGTGCAAATAAAAGCCGTTTGTACAGGAAAGAGTATTTTTTTTAGATAATTTATTATACATACATGTGGGGTACAGCAGGAAAGAGTACTGAGTTGGTCACTTTGGCCTTGTTAGCAGCTGCAACTGGCCATCATTTCCTAGGTCCTGGCTGCAATGTCACCAAAAGCACCCCTTGGAGCACTTTCAGGCTTGACCAACGAAATTCCCCAAGGGCGGAAGCCCAGCCCACCTGGTCTTGCTTCTAGGGCAGCAGCACCGGGAGGTCGCGCTTGTCTCTGGGGCTCTGGGTTTGTGGTGTCATTTTCAGTTCAGTAAGGACAGTTTGGATGCCAGTTCCCCAGAAGCCAAACTCATGCAGCTTAGGCAAAGTTGGGGATGCAGCAGCCAGGCTGGGAGAGGTGAAGTGGCCTCAGGAGAAGAGCTGATCCCGGCACGGCTCTGCCCCACACTCCTGCTCTTCTTCACAGTCCTGTCCTCCTCTCCCACCATACTGTAAGCCCTGTCTGGGCCCCAAGAAACACCAGCCCCCTAATCACTGTGCAGCCACCCCAGCGCCCCCGAGCCCTCCTGCAGCCGTCGTAGTGCTGCTGCCTTCTCACTTCTAGGGGTGAGGGGCGGCTTCCCTCCACTTAGGGGTCTCCTGTCTTTGAGAGAAGACCCCTGGCTCTCTGCAGGCATGGGCCACGGCACAGATTTTACTGGGTTTTCTCCTTTCCCTGCTCTGCACCTCCCTTTCCCACTGGGCTTCCCAGGATCCTGCACCCAACTCCTGCCAGGTTAATGTTTGGGGAACTCAGACTAAGACATCCCACAACATCTCCTGAAGACCCAGTTGAGCACTAGGGACACCATGTGTGGGGACAGAGGGTCCCACGAGCCACACCTGATGCTCTGCACTGAGCAAGCTGGTAGCAGGTCTGATTTGCATCTTTGTCCAGGACAGCCAGAGTCTCTGCTTTGGCCAATAACTGGGCTATGATCTTTAAAAGAGACAGAAAAAACAACACAATGTTAAAGTTTGGAAAACAACATTCTAACCTCTAGGTCAGCCACAGTGGGACTGGAAAATCCCTCAACTGACGGGTGTTGGTCCCTCTTTCCTCCCACCCCGGGGTCTGTCACTGACCTTCTCCTGGCTGTTGGCCGTGGAGAGTCACAGGCAAGCTCTCGCTCAACAGGACGGGCTGTGAGGCAGCATCGCCAATTTCTCCCCCGTATGTGCAGAGCTCAAATCCCAAGTTGTGCTGCTACATTCTCACTCAGTCAGATCTGGGCCTCCCTGGGACACCAGCGGATGACAAGTCCCCTTGCTCTGTGAGCCTCTCCGACTCTCCAACACTGCATGTGCCTCTGTCCAAGCCCGATTCATTGCACAGCACCTGCCCATCACCTCTCACCAGCTCATGGGCTGGGTGGAGGGTGTGTCGTTTCCATGGACCACTCCTGTGCAGAGGCTTAACTACCAGGACCTTTTACTGATGGAGTGGACCGGGCCGCATTGTGTTGGGGCTTATCTCTGTGCATAGATACGGAACAGGAGTGTAAACCCCTCTGTCTTCCTCATGTGTGCATTTTATGAGAGAAGGAACATTGTAGTTAGTGGCAAAATATATGCCTGGGGTGAGTCAAGGCCCCATCTAGATGCCTCTTTTATTCAAACTTACCTGCCAGGGGCATCCGGGAAGCACACTCATTTCTGTGCCCACACCTAGGGTCTCCATCTCCTGGATGATCATGTGGCTCTGCCCTGGCCCCTTGTCCAGCTCACTGGTTCCTCCTGCTTTGCAGAGTCCCATGGACCTGAGCCCATCCTCATTCCACGCCTGCTCCAGAGCCTGTGGCTGCACCTCCCAGGGGATGTGAGCCAGGTGGGGCATCTCTGGCCCATCCGTCCCCTCTGTGCCCTGTCGTACTGGCTGCAGCCCCTGTGAAGCTCCGCCCCAGCTCCCCAGTCCTCTCCGCCCAGCCTCGCTCCTGCCCGGCCCTCCCCAGCCCCACTCGGCACAACAACGCTGCCCCTTACTCGCTCACGGACGCTGCTCAGAGGCACCCCCTCACCTCACAGGTGAGGAAATGGTAGATTTCACAGCCAGAACCAGTGTGATCAAGACTTAGATCAAGGTCTTTTAAAGGCCAACCACTGTGATTCTTCACATTTTCTTATTTGTCTTGATCCTTAGCCACAAGGAGTTTTCAAAGCATAAACAACAAACAAACAATAAAATACGGCCTGGTTTATCAGTTGTCCCTGAACCTTCCCACTTTCCCATTAGCTCTGGGTTGATAAATTAAACGTGGTTTTAAAGTCTCTAAACTTTTTGTGACAGTCAGTACTCCTGACACCCACTCCTGGCTTCTCCTTTGATAACACAATCTCAATATTGCTCAGGGCAGTACTGTGCTCAGGGCAGTACTGTACGCAGGCTTCCTTGCAGGTAGGACTTAATTCTGGCCACTGAGAAAGAAGCAGAGGTCTGCTCTAAGGGCAGGGTGGGGCAGGGGGTCTGGAAAACATTTTGCTTTCTCAATAAAGGGCTCAGACATTGTTACTGAACTGAATGTAGTTCACCCGCCCACGAGCAATGGAATCCAATTACCGAAGCAGCAGTCTTTGCCCTAGGGAAAAAAAGGCTTATTTACAAGGCCAGCATGTGAGAAGACAGGAGATCCGTATCTCAGATCAGTCCCCTCCACTGCAGAAGGATGATACATCCATGGGGAAGTGGTCAGGGTGAAAGGGTGGGGCGAGCACCTGTGCAGGTGCAGTAGAGAAGGTGAGGCCTCTGCTAGGAGAGCCTGGCCTCGTGTTGGGCCAAGCAGACTGCAATGATCCTAGGCACACGACTGTGACTTCTATGCCAGAGGCATTATCTTAAAAAGACAGATAGGAAGAAACACGGGTTAATTATGGAATTTTACTGAAAGAATGGGCAATTTAAGCAGGGAATAGATTTTTAACTGAAAGCAACTGTTACAAAACTGCTGTCTTAGATTGACTTTTCCAGGGACAGACACAGACTGGGAGCTGTGTGTACAAGGGAGGTTTCCCAGGGAGGCATCTTGGGAGATGCACCTGGGACAGGTGAGGGAGGCTGGATGGGGCACGGGGAGAAGCTGGACAGCAATGAGCTAGCACCCTGGCTGTGTCGACCCTACAGGGAGCTCTGGAGCTAGCTGGCCTGCCCATCTGCCCTGCCTTGAGTCAAGTGGGCAGAGTCTGCCTCCCACATCAGCCAGTAGTTCCGAGGGAGTGGCGTCAAGGGTCCATGGCAGCTGCTCCCCCCAGTAGCTGGGGTGCCTCAGTCTAAAGAAGTGAGCTGGGCAGGGTGCCACCCCACCCACTACACTGCCACCTCCTCTTCCCACCTGGAAAAAGGACATAATGGCCAAGGCTACTGCCTGGAGATGGCAAAGACATAGGCACAGATACTGATGTCTGTTGACCAACACAGCCACCTCTTTGCTTGGACTTTGTAAGAAAGAGGCCAAGCCCATTTCCCCTGTGGTCAGCTTGCTAATGCATGCAGCTATGTGCACTGCTACTGGGTACACACCCTCTTTCCCACCTTCCAGTCCACCTTGGAAGCCTGGCCTTCCCTCAGCCGCCTTCCCAGAGACTCTTCTTCCAGTACGGATCTGCAATCTGTCTTCTCTCTGCTACCTCCCAGGCCCTGCCCAGACCCTCATCACTGGATAAAGCAAGACCTGGGTCCTCAGTGCCAGGCACTGCCTCCAGGGACTTGTAGCCAGTCCCCAGCCACAGATTGTATTCTGTCATTCCTTGGCCCCAAATCCTTTACTGCCCCCAAGATAACTTCCAAGCCCTTTGGAAAGTGACCTCCCAGGCCCTAACTGTGGGTCTGCCCCTGCCCCAGGTCCAGCTGCACCCCTCACCCCACCCGCCCTCACCCTGCCCTGATGGTCCAGTGTCAGGACGGCTGCTGAGGCGATGCATGGAGCAGGCATTCTGTTCCTTCCTGCTGGGAACATGAAGGCCCTGGCCCTCTCGTCTATGCGAAAAACTCTTGTTATCTTTTTGGAAGTCTTCCTTGACCCCCTCCCCAACCCTCCAGAGTTGGGCTCCCCCAGGAGACTATGAGGTTTCAGCCAGGGGCTTGGCTCTTAAATGTTTTTAGTGTCTTTGCCCTGCCCTACCCCCCAGGGCCTGGCACCCCACCCTGGCCCTGCCAAGCTCAGCTCTGAGTGCTCTGCCCCAGCATCGTTGACAGGAGACTTGCAAAGGCCACGGCCAGGCTGCAGGGACTGATGACAAAACCTGCTCCTGAGCCCTCCCAGTCCTCACCTCCAGCCCACCGTCTGATATCCTGGGGACAAAGGGGCGTTCTCTGCCTCTTTCCTTTTCTTCCTGGACTACTACATGGCAGATCAGCCCCTTTAACCCTAGAATCCCATCTGTGCAATGAAGAGGAGCCCAGCCGGCCACCACCAGGGCTCAGTCCAGCTCTGGTGGCCTTGCGGGGCCCTGTACCATGTACAGATGAGGCTACCCCTGCCAAGGAAGGGCCCAGCCTGATGCCAGGCAACTCCTAGCTCTGGGCCCAGCACATAGTAGGGCTAATAAAAATGTGTTAAGTGCCCCCAAGAGCCCTGAGGGCCCATGTGTCCAGGACCCCCTCTGAGGGAACCACTGCAACAATGCCTCCCAACATGTCAGGCCAAGCTCAAGAGGCAGCTGGATTTAGGGGCCAGGAGTGGCAATAGTGGCCTTTGAGTATGACTGAGCAGGGGTCTTCACTCTCCACATGGGGACATGGAGAACACTGGCAGCTGGCTGAAGCAGCTCTTCTCAGGGCACTTACTTCCCCCCGCCTTTGCTTCTTACATGGAGACTGTGGTACTGTGGTTTATAATAAGAAATAGAGCTCCTGTAACCCTTGATAGCAAGGTGACTTTTATATGCTAATAAGACGACTGGTGTCCGGGAGCTCCTGGACCACAGGTTGGGACTGGTTGACAGGGAATCCAACCACTTGAGCAGAGGGTTGGAAGGGAGTGGAGAAGGGAGAGGGGCTGAAGGTTGAGTGGATCACCAGTGGCCAGTGATGTGACCAATCATGCCACTTAGTAAAGCTTCCATAAAACCCCCGAGGATGGGGTTTGAAGAGCTTCCCAGCTGATGAGCACTGAAGGTTCCTGGAAGGTGGTACAGCTGGAGAGGGCACAGAAGCTCTGCTCCCCATCCCTTGCCCTATGCATCTCTTCCCTCTGGCTGTTCATCTGTAGCCTAATATCCTTTATAACAAATGGGTAATAGTAACTGAACTGTTTTCTTGAGTTCTGTGTGCCATTTTAGCAAATTATTGAACATGGGAAGAGAGCCATGGAAACCTCTGCTTTACAGCCGGTGGGGTCCAAAGAACAGGTGACAAGTCGAATTTGCAATTGGCATCTGAAATGGGGGCAGTCTTTTGGGACTTAGCTCTTAACTTGTGCGATCAGAGGCTGAGTTCAGATCAACAGTGTCAGCATCGAGTTAAATTGCAGGCCATCCAGCTGGTTCTGGAGAATTGGAGATTCTCCAGTGGAACCCCCCCCCACACACACATCTGGTGTCACAAGTGGAGTGTTGAAACCCTCCAGAGAGAAAGCAGGGTTTACACTTCAGAGATGCATTCTCCTTAGGAAGAAGGAAGTACAGGGCATGATGGGCTCTCAGGGCCAGCTCCACCAGGCTAGTCGACCCAGGCTGTGAATAAGGCGGCCCAGGGAGGGCAGGAAGAAGAGTTGGGGGGAGGCTGCTTCTGCTTCTTTCTGGGTTTGCCAATTCGGGCAAGTCACGTCGCTGGTGCAAGACTCAGATTTCTGTTTGTAAACTGGAATGCATGGGGATCCTTATGCCATTATGTCAAGGTGGGGTTATGCCAAGATTAGGTTATGTCAAGGTACAGTTAGGTTAAGGTGTAATTACGACAAAGATTAGTAATGCAAGGTGCATTTGCTCCAAGGCTTAGATATATCAAGGGATAGTTATGTCAAGGAGTTGTTAGGTTAAAGTGTAGCTATAACAAGATGTAGTTATATCGAGATGGGTGCTGTGGAGTGAATTGTGTCCCTCCCCACCACATTTATATGTCAAAGCCCTAGCCCCCAGTGGGACTGTATTTGGAGATAGGGTTTTTAGGAGGTAACTACGGTTAAATAAGGTCATAAGTGTGGGGCCTTAATCCAGTAGGGCTGGTGCCCTTATAAGAAAAGGAAGAGACACCAGAGAGCTTACTCTCTCCTCTGCAAGCCAGATGCAGAGCTCTCACAGGAACCGAGTAGGCTGGCACCTTGAAACCTGGCAGGAAGCCTCAAGCGAACGTTCCTTCAGCAGTAAGAGGAAACAATTCCACCACCATTATGATCACGGAACTATTTCTCACTTCAGAGGTAA